GTTTTCCGTACGAATACACGTGTGTACACCTGAAGTGAACAAATCGATTGCGATTTTGGTGCGTAGAGCGTGCACAATACACGATAAGCTATCGACGTGTTGTTCTGCCGAACGGACAGTGCAAAAAACGCGTTACAAATTCAACGTGTGTCGCTCTGAAAAATCACCAACTTTTAGAGATTAGACGGAACGAAAAAATAAAAAGCGACGACAAAAAATTATGTTCCGATCATCGTTGTTATGACTACGTGGTGTATACCAGGGATGGCCAAACTTTTCTCGACCGCAATCTACTAAAAATGTACTTCACCTTTGAAGAACGAGTTCCATGGAAAATTTTTTTCATTATTAAGCACCTATAGTTTTCGTGTACGTAAATAAATTCTGACACGATCGACCGTTTGGCCTTCAAGTTAGTTGTGTAAAAAATAGTAATAAGTTAGATACTTAATTTAGATGTAATAGTATATGATATTAAATTTATTTATTTGATGTTCTGAAAAGAGGTGAGGGGGAGGTGTTTGGTGATACCTTGGTGGAGGTAATATTTTGGTGCGATGATGAACATTTAAACGTGGGCCGCTGGATTACATTTTTACCGGACCGGTCGATGCAACGCCTATCCGTCCCTGTTGGCCGCCCCTGACGCAACCGGTGAACCGTCGAAGGCTAGCGACCGGACCGTCTAAATGTTTTCCGTTTGTGCATCGGTTGAATTCTCATCGTGATCGGTGGATGATCGATAATTTTGTTCGTCAAACCCGGTCGTCTAGGGTTATGATCCATACAACGTTACGTCTTTGTGGCCTCGTGCGCTGTCACTCAATATTTGTTATCGCGCCCCGTACGTGCCGCGGATCAGGTAAACCGATCAGATGTATTGCGCTCGTTGCCAACGGCGAAACGACTTGTCTTGCTCTCCGGACCTCGTTCGCGCCGATCGTTCCGAAAACGGAAAACGCTGTCCCGCCAGCGAATATCCGCAGACGACCGAATCGAAAACGCGCGCGGGAATGCGTTATCACGGCGGTGCGCGCCGCAGGATATATTTTTCCTCGGGCCGACAGCGGTCTCTACGCGTATCGTTCGCGCACCGTTTACCCCGAAAGTATACAGAGGGCACCACCGCCGCCGCGAGTCTGCGCGAACTACTCCCACCCCACCCCACCCGAGATTCAACCCTCGATCCGCCCGAACGTATTCACACCACGTAAATGCATACATACGCGTGCGCGCGTACACGTTTACGTTTTCGGGGTACGAGTCGCGTACGATCCGGAGGCCGGTGCGGACGCGGGCGAAAAGGGCGCACGGAACGCGCGACCGGCAGTGGTGGAGGCGACGGGCTCGTAACATTTCTCCACGCCTCATCATCGACATGACGGTCCACCGTTCCCGTATCAGCTGGTCAGTATACGCGCGCCTAAGGACACGCAACGCGTAAGCGCGCGCGACGCGAATCGCGCACCCTTATCCTTCGCTAAATATTCGGCGAGCGAATGCCATCGCGTTCTCGTCGCGGCCGCCAATTGTTTGCGATTTCGGTTTCGGCGACGCGCATGGAAAACCGCCTCGCCGTTTGCGCAGCACCCCCCCCCCCGATGGTGGCGTTACGGTTTTCTCACGCGCACACGGGTGTACACTTCGTGCCCCTTCGCGAAATCCATCTGTCGGCAGCCGCACACATCTTACTAGCACTAACATCTAACACTAACCAATTTAGAATATTTACAAACAAGGAGAATTAGACTTGATCATTGTTTCACTTCTAAGTTATTAAATGGTATCGTTAATTGTTCTGAGCTACCGGTTAAATTTGATTTTCTAGTACCCACTTCCCGTGCCAGGAACTCATATACATTTTATGCACCATTCCATCGTACTAACAATGCTAAAAATGCCCCTATTACTAGGTTAATGTGCCATGTAAACAAGTTTAACGTTGATTTGTTCATTTGTAATAATATTATTACTTTTAACGTATACCTTAAAAACAATGTGAACATTGTCTTCCTTGTATATATTGTGCTTAGCCCGTTTAAATATTCTATTTCCCCGGTAAATATGGCTATTTTCGCGTTCATACGTTTCCTCAACACTTCTTATCCAACGGAACCGATGGCGGTAACCTACAAGCGCGTGTCGTACCGATGGTTTTATGCAAGTTATAAGACGCTCTTATCCGTACGAAAAGTTCGGCCCGTTCAGGTGTGTTGCTCCATCGGGTCCGTGTACAAATATTTTTCACATTCGCCTGTTGTTCAACATCGCATTCCGAGTTAAGGACCAATGTTAATTATAATCACGTTTTAGTATTAGAAAACCAACGAATAACGCCTTTACTTACGATGGCTTCTGATAAGAAAAACTATCGGAAGTGATTGTATTTCGAGTATTTTACCACACTACGATATTCAAGGGGCTTTCGAATATATAAGCGTAATATTTTGTCAAGTGAAGAGAAAACTGCTTTTTATATGAATTCGTACAAATATTATGAAAATTCGTAAACGCTCATTGTCTAGGTCTTTACATCTACGGCCAATTTAAACAAGAGATATACAGTGGCATAGCAAGGGCGGGTGTTTTGGGTGTTAAAGCAACCCCTTCTCTGCCGTATTTATATAAAAATATAATGGTTTTAACATAGGAACACAATGGACTACATGGACTTAGATACTATGGCTGCGCGAGTCTATAGTGGGCTGCAGAAAATAAAGGCCAGAAATATTCTTTATGACTACATGAGTGTGGAATCCTTTTAATTAAATTTTATTACAAAAAAAAAAATTCAAAAGAACACCCCTCTAAAAATAATCCTGGTTATGTCACTGTGGATATATATAAAATCCGAAGATCTGAATTTTCCGATTATCCAAATATCCAAATTTGGATTTGAATCAAATCCCTATTAGGATTTGCCGAAGTATCTGGACCATCCGGATTAATCGATTTGCTTTTTATGTAACTTATAATTATTTTGACTACACACGAATAATTCAAACAATTATTGTGTCCTGAAAAAAGTAATTAATAAGTGGATATACGAATTGTACCCGTTAAATTACTATGATACATGAATTGCTTCCTGTTTTATTTAAACGACTACATAAAATTATTTTTTTGGTCTTCCATTTTTAAAATCAGATGAAGTAGAGTATTACTGCCGATATTATATCAATTTTACCCGAAGATGAAAAAGTACAGCAATTTTCCGATTATTTATTAAATTCATACATTAAGCCTAATTATGACTTCTCGCCTTCTGTATGGGCAATACAAAGTAGAGAATACAAAGTATTTATGTTCTGTCACATGAAGTATAAATAGTTGTTAAGCCTTCCACTCCAAATTTAATAGTATGTTTTACTCAGCATACCCGAATAAATTCCAATTCATAGATGTTTTAAAAAATGTACAAAAAGATACTTATGTTAAACAAAGAAGTGTTCATGTACCTAACTAAAAAGATAATAAGTGAAAAATAATATTATTTAAAAGAAAATATGGCAAAATATGAAAATGGCCAATCAACACATTTTGATTATATTAAAAAGGTATTATTCAAGTTTTTACCAGTTTTTTAATTTTAATTTTATATTAAATATAATATTTATATATTATATAATTTATACATATTATATTTTATAATTTTTTTTATTATTGTTTATTTTAATTATTATATTACATTCCTATAATTTAAACCTACACATTTTTATTTAAGTTACTTCAAATTCTATGACAACAATAAAAATCAATATTGTTAACCTACCGATAGTCATAATTTACTATTGATAGTCCTAAATGAAATGAGAAGGAAAATAATGTTTTTACGTTTGGACGCAATTCATTTAGTCATTAAACATTGTCAGGGCGTATTTCATGTAGTCGTTAAATATGGTTGGGACGCAATTCATGTGGAAGAAGAATTTTTAGATGAGATTTCATGTGCAACGATTATTTTTAATTTCCAGTAAAATAATTTTTTTTTTATTTTAATGAAAATTTAACAAAAAATTAATATTATGTCTTATGAATTACCTATATACCAATCGTAACTTCAACAGTTTTTATAATTTATTATTAGTTAATAAAACAACATGTTATTAAATGTTTGTGTTAAAATTAAGTTAAAAAGCGTTAGAAATATGGTATACCTAAGTTCGAAAATTATAGAATTAAATGTATAGAAATATAAAAATAAGTCATCGAATAAAAAAATTGAGTTATATAATCCGTGAAATCTGGATTTGACAAATATGAATAATTTTGAATTTTAAAATCCGAATATGTCCACCACTAATTTAAACCAATGCATATTCATAGCAGGGTCAAACATTTTAAAGTTGGTTAAAGCACAAAATCCATAACATCTAATAATTATTATTATAATTAAGTCATAGAACCTAAAAAAAAATATCCCCTACTGACGACTACGGCTATTACTTGCAGTGGTGAAGAGTGATGTTTTGAATATAAACATCCATTTTCGGGTTATGCTTGTATCAAAAATAGTTATTTTTGGAAAACATTGAAAATATGTTAATCGTTTAAGTTACATAAAAGCACGAATAAGACCTGTGATAAATTATCAGTGCCAAATAGAAAAAACAATGATTGATTTTATAATATATTGCTTATACGTAATATTATAAGTGATTATGAATAACTACGTTAATAATATTTCAAAATATATCGTTGCATTCTGGAAACAAAAAATATTCTGAAATATATATCCCACATTACAATAAGCCAACGATCAATCTATACAAATCGAATACATCAAAATTAATTTTTCTTCTGGCATGCAACTTGATCGAATTATTTTTATGTTTTTGACATTTTAAACGTAGTCCATGCTAACATTTTAATTAAACAATATGTCACATAACATGTTAAAAATAAATTATATTATTGTACCCATACGAGTAGAAATATTTACAAATTTAATCAACAACTCATAATATGATAAATATTGCGAATAGAAAATATTATACTATTTATCAATTCGTTTGTGTATGATATATCTGATCTTGTTCAAGGAATACGAATAAGTAGGTGATTTAAAATTCTTAATTTTATTACGTACATGAGCTGTAGATTATCCTATACAAATAAGCTAGAATTTATTTCTATATAACTGTTATTTATATCATCTTATCATATAACCTACCTAAGTATTCATTATATTCACAAATAGATATTGTATTCGATAAAAATAACAATTTAATTTTTTCTTTTTTTTTTTTTTGTATAATTTCAAACCAAAATCGTCACAAATGTATAACATTTAGTATGATGATTAGATTTATATTGTAGATACATTATGTAGAGTCTACATTGTAGACACTATGTACATTAATGTACACGCATTGGTCCATTTCCACTAAAAAAAAAGAACGGTTAACATTTTTTTTTATAGGTATTTGATATAAATCTACCGTGTGGTTGTCGTGAACTCTGTAACAGCAAAATTCAAACATTAATTCGATATCACACTTAATTGTTTAGGTATATATGAATTTATTATAAAATATTTCTAAGAAAAAAAATACAAAGGTATACATTTGTTTGTCATATATTATTCACAATAAATTTACTTAGTGGAAAACACACACGAGATAACCAGTTAAAATAAAGTAAATAGTGAATTAATTTATTGTAGTTATATCGAATTTCCGTTACAGGTGAAAGGCCATAGGATAAAGGTACTAAATCACATTTTTGAATTATGCACAAGTTCATACTATAATTGTATAGAAATATTAATAAACTCTGAATAAATTTCGGATTTGAGAAACAAAAAAAAATATTTCAATGTCATATAATATAAAACAAGTAACAAGTTTATGTAACTGCATTAATAAACTTATAACCATATACTTAATATCCATAATACGTACTTAATATATAATATATATATTTAATATGTACATAATATGCACGTCGTAGTTCCTCGGCACATTGTTATAACATGGATTAAAACTCATATTAGCAGACACCGGACACGTTTTGTGCATAACTCGATTATTATCGATTTCAATTATCGGTTGTTCATTATTATGGTGTGCACTCCATTGTAATATAATGGTGTAACACACAGGCCTCGTGAAATTTCGACCGAACTGAAACAACGTTAAACCATTTTAGAATACTTTCGACCTCCTAAACATATTATACATACGTAACCAGTCCAACGGCGTGTAGATATATGATTTCTTCAGGAATATTATCAGTATATTATAGGTTACGTCTTATTCCTCCGAGTCTCCTCCGGACAACGGTTACTGCTGGCTGGTCGAGAAATAAGATTTTCACCTTCAAAAAAAAAAAAAAAAAACTACTGACCCCATTTTTTTAAAAAAAAATTAAAAATTCAAATTCTTTCATAATGCATATTTTTATACACACATTATTAATATTCTACAGTATACCTGCGTATCGAACGGTGAAAAAATAAAGCTCCATAATATTATTTATAATACGCATATGTATACGTATGTAATATATATATTTGTAACGGACGATAACTATTTGAATCGAAACCGGTCGTAAATATTTATGCATTAGTGATGCATATTTCAGACAAGAAGTAACCTTTATTTTTATTAACGATAAATTTTGTATTATTTATCGTCAATTGCGCATTTATTATTATTATTTAGATGAATACGAAATTACAACAAATAAAGTATAAATACATAAGATACTGAATTGTTAAACAGTGATAAAATTTTTATAACATTTGTAGTACATATTGATGTATTAAATGTTGTACATGAGTTCATTATTTGAACGACCTTGAACCAAAAGAGTCGCGAAATGAATAATTATTGTAGGGATCCGACCAGGTTGTGCACTCTTGTATACACCCCATTGTTAAGTGCAATATACAGTATACTGATAGAATATACGAATACGTGGACACTTTTTACAAAAATATTACTTCAGTTGTAAGTCGTGAGTTACATCAATCGATAATCATCTGCCAATGTATAGTGTTGTACCTATATCTACAAGCTCGTAGTATCTATATCAGACGGCCGAACGTTTACGCGTATATTATTTCACGTATAAATCGGTGAAACTTGAGTAAGGGTGCTTATTGGACGGCAGGGACAAAACAGGGCACTTGTCGCGTTGGAAAATAATATTTTAACTTGTAATTAGATGATTACTATAACTCTTATCGGTATTAGGACATGGGATAAGTACAGAAATCCACGAACATTACTTGTTCTTTTCTAAAAATTTACCGATGTAATTGGTAACTAAGTAATAAGGTTAACTGTAAATAAGCCTTTGAGTTCAAATTATTTTGACTTTGTACGACCAAAACGGTTAGTACCGAAACACAGTCCGGTCACCATTTACCGTAAATCCGTCTACGATTTAACGAAATATATATATACGCACAGTAAATCGAGTGAATCTCTGCCCGTTACACCATTGATTTTAGAATATAATATACTGTTCCGTGATCAACGATCGTACTTGAAACCAAATGGGTTTTGGCACTCCATTGCGGAGTATCCTGCGCATACGTACCGTATTACTATCACGTCGACGAGACGATACGACGGTCGTTACATCGATCGGCATCGGATTTCGAAGCGTATTGCGGCGAACAAAACATTTCCGTCCGTAAGTAAAAATAATAACAATAATAATACGTATGTAATTGGTAATATTATAGGTATTGTGATTGTATAACTTTGCGCGAGGACAGCAGCAGACGTGCAGGGTAGCAATGCGAACGCGACGAGTAGCTGTGAACTCGGCTTGGAACATGTATATTAGGACGCACACACGTAGGTAGTGATATGATATGCGTTGCGGCCGTAACGGTAAAATCGACCTCCGCCAGGCTCGGAGCTCCACGACAAATATCGTTGACCTGATAACAATATTTAAACATAATACGAGTACACCGGGTGCACGTGCAGTGTCACTGTCCAACGTATATTATTATTACTTTTACTATAGTTACTATTGTCGTACTGAACCGTGTACAGACCCGGGTATCTGAAATAATCAGATTTTTCGATTTTATTTTTTTTCCCCGTACACGTCGTATTCGTCTGATGCTCAACTGTGTTCGTTACCTATGTATACTGTTATATGGCCCGAAACGCACGTACACGTGTACAACCCAATATATGGCTTTAAATATAATATAACTCGTATTCGTTCATTCCTCGAAATGCTCATGACTTGTCATTATTTAACACTTCCTTATCTGCTAGAGTTATTCTCTTTCGTTTTTGAAATCAAAAAAATGTATATTATATAATCACCGTGATACTCTTTAGTAGTAATTTTTAATTAGATTTACTTCGTAAAAAAAAAAAAATTCATTCGTACATTAATTGTACACTTGTAGTATATTATTTACTGTAGTACATTTTATAGTCTTAGTTTATGTTCATTAGTTATTATTATAATATACTGATTTTATTATTGTTTGAACCAAAGTATTTCTTAATACATATTTATATTTAAATATTTCATATAAGCGTGACTGCAGTTCGATTATACACACAGCAATGATTATTTCAGTTTTCCTATACGAAAATAAAATCTTATTATTTACGATCACCAGCAATAGTACACCAGTTTCGAAAAGATAAATGTTATTAAACAATTGTACGTACGGGATGCAGGATAGTGGGACTCCGATTTTCGTAGAGTTGTGTAAAGGTACTCTCCTTGAAAAAAAAAAAAAAAACATTAAATTAACATGTGTGTAAACAATAACGAGTTCTAGAACAATTTATGTAAAAACGAAATATATTAAGCTGTATCACTGTATACCCGGTTGCGCACCTCTTTGTACCGCGCGTCGTTAATACATTAATCCGTATTATGCGAAATAAAATCAGAGGTATAATTATGTCCGTTGCGATGACGTGCGTACATAAATATCAATATGGGCGTCCAAGAAAACAAGGAAGAACGAACGGTGTGTGTTGCACACACTCTCGCGCGTGCTCCTGCGGGTGATTTTGACGGCTGGCGGACGCCGTGTACAAATAATATAATATAATATAATGTATAATATACATTGTTTACCACGCACACACGTATATATTATGTATGTGTGTGTGTGGTAAATACAAGGAAACAATGAAGTTATTGCAGTGTTTAACAATGTTTAAGCAGCGCAGCGCGCGCGCGGAAGATAATCGGTAAAACGCGCGTGACGTAATTGCCGAGGAAAAAGAGTTCGGGGAAATAATGTGGTGGTCCAAGGGATCGGAAAGAGAAAGAATTTTAACCGATTGTCATGGTATTACGATCAATCGAAAATTTGCGTCACATAATTACTAGGTGTTTTGTGCGCGACAAAAACTACGATATCGCGGCGGAATTCAATAGGAGCGCATTATAAATACGTACCGTACACACATGCGCGTAGTATAATGTACAATAATAGCATAATGGTTAATTGAAGAAGAAAGTGGACGTGTGGATACGTTTATGTGTACAAGCGAATTGCCGCCGCCGCCGCCGCCGCCGCCGCCGCCGTCGGGAATGATACCGTTGTGGTGGGAAACCGGTTCAGATCCGACAAAACCGAGTTTTTCGACGTCAGTCCCGATTCAGACTCGAACGAGTCGTCGTCAAACGTCAAACCGTCCGTGCACCTTGGAAAAACCACACGTCTATGCGAGATCAAGAAACTGAAATCCGACCGAAGACAAACTTTTAAGGTAGTACTACAAACGTTCTCTACTATATTAAAACGTCGAAAACATCTTTATTTTGCATGGAAATTGTTGCGTCGCGTGTTGTATTAACAGCAATTTTATTTTTTTCGTACTTTTTCCCCCCGTATAAAATCACGGTATGGCAACGAAGAGTCGAAATAATGATTTTACACGAGTATAAAAATATATACGTTTGTTACCGATGTCGATCGAATATGGGGATTTGTGCATATAACGCGTACCTATTGCTTCGGTGTGCATAACAATTGCAGCGTGTTTCCACACAGAAATGAATCCCGTAAATATTAATCCTTTCGAAACAAAAAATTGTCAAAATTTACGCTTTAAGCAGTCTTTGCGATGTACGATACCATCAAAAATTTTTCTGTACGATGTTTTCAAACGACACGTTCTGAAGGTTGCGACGTTCAAGGGAAACTACCTGTTCATCTGTAAGACTCGTCAGAGGTATATGTTCAAATTTATTTTTAATTTCACGCGTACAACGAAAATTGATTACCTTCATGCGGTATAAATCATATAATGATAAATTTGTGCACGATCCGAGTGTATTAACAGACTCGGTCGAAACGATAAAATATATTTTACCGCGCGTGCAAACGTTTACGTGTTCCGATTCGGGCAAGCGATTTTTACTTTTCTTTCAACACTTATATAATATATCGTATCGGTCGTAGTGGACATATGATTTCTACACCGGAAAACTAGGTACGTACTTCCGGATCTTACGAGCCGCGGCCGATCGCACGGACGCGGTCAACATCAAACACCGTTGACCGTTGTGTACCAATGATTCTTAACGGTATCGAATCCGTTTACCGCGTTACCGACCGTCTGCATCAGGGCGGTATGACTGACCGCGGTACATGGCGTACGCGGTTACCACGCGGCTAACCGGCATCGCGTCGTGCAAGACTACGACGTTTATAAAACGGTTTTCACGCGTGCGCCGTAGACCGTTCGCGCCAGGACCGCTTCGTCGCGATCACCAATCTATTTTACATCTTTCCCCGACGCGATCGGACGGTTAATAGTTCGGTGTTTGCCGGTAAACGTCCTGCACCGTGGCACCGCGTCGCGTTGTCGTTTTTCGACGGCAGTCCGTCCGGAGCGCGTGCCCGCCCGATGCCGGAAGAACCGGTAACCGGGTTAATGGCCGTCGTCGTTTCTCCGCGCGCGCACCTCGTCGACACGGAGCCCGCAGCGTTCCCGGACTCGTCCGCGAGGACGCGACCAGCCTCGACAAGTGATTAGCGCGCGCGTAACGCACGTACGACCGGGGCCCATTACGGTACGGTGTTCGGGTACGCGGCGCGCGTGGGCATACGCGATGAGTGTGCAGTACGCGCGGACAGGTCTCCCGAACGTTGCGCGTATATCCGTCCGTCGCTCTCTCTCTCCGTCTTCGCCGCGCAGACAATGGCCGCGAACGGTCGCCCCGATGACCCACATAAAACTATTATCGTTTATTACTGTACCGCCGCTCGCGCGTATATAGGCCGCGGAGTCTTGTCCACGTCGTCGGCGCATTGTCTTCGTCACAACGGACGGACTTCAGAACAATAGGCACAACGCGCGGACAAGCTCACGGTGTCGTAGGCGACGGGAAGTGTTCGTACTAGAAGTGTCCAAGTGTTCGATTAGATTTTTTTTTTTTTTTTTTTATAAGGTCATCCGGTCTTTGACGTATCTCGTTGAACACCACGAGTTCGCTGCGCGACGTAAATAAATATCGTAATATTCCCCAGGCGTTAACGTCGGCGCACGCTTCTTCGGGACGCGTCTCCGCCGCGGGAATCGGACGCGCACACCCGTGTTTGTGAGTCGACCGGATAGGAATGGGCACGCGTGTACCGTGCCGTCCGTGTTAGATCCTGTTGATCGGTGTCACCGGGTTAGGTCAGGTGCTGGTATTTGATCGACTGTTTTACGGTCGCGCCGAGTGCTCGCGCCTAGATCGCGTTATTATCATTTTTTTTTTTTTTTTGTGTCGCTAGCCGAATACGATTATAATTTCGTAGATTAATGTTATCCGCGAGGTGATATTGAACGCTCCGACTGACCTATGCAGCGGGTAGACGACGTTTTTGATCGCGACGATATATCTACGGATTAGCATTAGGTGTCCTCGAAAACGAATATTTGAATATTTATCGGGTGATCATTGTTATCCATCAGTTGTTTTGTTCCAAATTAAAAACAAAAGTATAATGCATCAGAGCCCTTAATTACTACATGATTACGAAAATTGTTGTTGGGCAACAAGTATATTTCGTGGCCGCCGTAGCAATAACATGGTTGTACAAAAATCTAAAATCTATTGAGAATCGATTACTGTTAACTCGTGGCTATTTTTCACCTGTACAGTTATATTTCTGGAACATAAAATGCACAGTGACTGTTGGAAAAAAAATCGGGGAAAAAATACCGTATCGCCGGAGCATACATATATCACCTCTTCACCGTGTTGTGAATCGATGTCTGTCTTAATAAGACTGTAATTCAAAATTCTTCGGACGAGCTAAAAAGTTCGCTTCTCCGTTGATATCGACAGTGATGTATTTAAGGGGGGGGCAAGTGGTTATGCTTACCCTGGCGCTGTTGGTATAAGGGCGCTTTTAAGTTTATGAAAAATAAAAAACTAAAAAAATTCACCCCATACTTTCACCCGTGTAAGGTCGCTGCATTTTTACTAGCTATGGGCGTGAATTCCCTGGTCCGGCACTGGGTTTCGATTTCGAAAGATCCCAAAAACACGCGTGAACACTGCAACAGTTATACTGTATGTAAGGCGGTACACGATGACGCAGTTTCGCTGACGAAAATGTGTGTGCATAACATAACAGTCGCATCCAAAAATATACTGTACATATATTTTGGGTAGGTCTATCGCAACCGTGACTGTAACCCGGAAACTTGAAACTTAACCGAAGACGCAGCAACGTTCGTGTCGTATTATTTAATTTCCTACAGGCGTTGTACTTGGCGCACTGCACGGTACGACTTATCGCATATGTAATGCGTATCACGAATTCAATAAAAATAAATCGCTCTACCCGGTGTCATCGATTATCAATTATCTGATGCACGTCGTGGAATTTTGGTCGGGTTAAATCGCATCGCAGACGTACGGCCATCATGTACAACAGTACAATGCACGCGCATTGTAGCTCAGTAGGCCAATGTGAAAATCCGGTCGATTCGAGTTTACGTCGCGGTACGCATTATTGCGGTGCTTACGGTTCTATCACGTTTCGGTCACCGAAAAATCATAAATACAAAAATTTGAATACGAGCGTTTTCCGCCCGTGCCCGGTGCAGCGACGAAAACGCGTCCGCGCGTTGCATCGCCTGCCCGAGGTGATAATACAACTCCGCGTATCCCGCAGCCGGTTTGTACGATCGCCTATAAACCGCCTATAACCTAAATATATGTATATTTTTTGTGTATTTATTGTGTTATTTTTCGAGAACGATTGTGTGTGTGTTTTTTTTTTTACACGCGATACAGGTTTTATAGATGCGTTGTGTTTCCGCTGTGATTTCGAACGACACCGATTCGTAATAATATTATAATTTATTTACGTTTTGCACACGAATCGAGAATGGTCGATGACGTTATACGAAATTTGGGTGAAAAAAAAAAATCATTTGGTGACGTACACGTAAATTTCAATATTCCGGAGCATCCGAGTTGGATCCCGAGTATTAGGGGCTAATCGCAGGTAGTGTACTAGTTGGGTCCTGGATTTTTATAGGTACTCCACTAGTTGGGTACCGGATTATTTTAGGTATTACACAAGTTCCTAAATATTTTTTTGTAAGTACTACATTATACTATAATTTTCCTTCCTATTTTAACAGACAGGACTGTCTATGATCTATTTAGACCAGAGGTATGGTTAAAAATGTTTTTTATAGTTTTTTTTTTTTTTAGTTTCTTTTCCATTAAAATATAAATTATAAGAATTGTGTTGATAAAAATATTAAAAATGTTAGAATCATTATATTATATAAACAAAAATTAACGGAAAAGAAACTAAAAAACAAAAAAAAAATCTATAAAAAACATTTTAACCATACCTGTGGTCTAAATAGATCATAGATAGTCCTAAGTCTGTTAAAATGGGAAGGAAAATGTTAGTATAATGTAATACTTACCAAAAAATATTCAGGAACTAGTGAAGTACCTATAAAAATCCGGCACCCAACTAGTGAAGTACCTATAACAATTTGGGACCCAATTTGGATGCACCCAATATTCTCGTCGTTTGGAACGATTAAAACTGTTAAATCCCATTGCTTTGACGTGTTTGCAGCTGTATGGAGAACACGCCGTTACGTGAATACACGTTTCGATTATTATTGCTTTAATTATGTATTTGTGAAACTCGGCCATCATTAAATTCTAGTGAAAATACGTTTCGACGGAACATTAACGATTCGACATTAACCGTGGGATTTGTATGCGTTAATTCAATCACCATGGGGCCTTAAAGCCTACGTAATAGTAAATTGAACTCTATCAACGCTCTCAGTGGGCACGACATAGCTATGAAGCGACAATAATATCGACGATATCGCAAATGGGGTTCACGTCCAGTGATGCTGTTGACGATTACACAACCATATATAACAGAATTGCGGAAAACGATAAAGTAAATCGAACGGTTCTTTAGTATCGAACAGCCAATGCAAACGCGCACGTACCTATATTAATAGTTTATTATGTCTCAGTCGACGCCTTTGAATCTACAGCAGTGTTCTAATGAAACATAAATGTAAATGTACCTCGATAACGACTGAATGGTGTATCTGCGTGATCCTTCTCGTCGTTGCGAGGTCGCGTGATTTCCGCAATGGTTATTTTAGCAGTTGAAATATTTTCCGTCGGCCGTTTATATTCTATTTCTTATACTTCTACTATTTGAAAAGTTATTATCACCTGGTACGATATTATTGTAGCACCACATTAAAACGAT